ATAATGCGTTCTTTTGTGTCTTTTCTTCATTTTAACTTCCTTTTCCTGCCACACCTGAAAAGACCTTTCATTCTTCCCCACCTCACTACCTGGTTTCCTGTAAACAGTGAACAGCTTGCTCTTACAGCAGGAAACAGACTAGTTTTTGATGTGTGGCAGCATAAAGTCTGGTTGAAATCAGTTTCAGTTTGCTTCTTTTAAAAAATCTGTGTACGTCTGTTTGTCAATTTAGAACCACAACTAATATATATAATATTTAATATAAAGTCTCTGAGACTGAGAAGTGCTTGACAGCAGATTTGTTACTTTATTTTAAGCTGTGCTTTGAGATTCCTTGATGTATATTGTAGTTATGTGCTTTCTCCATAGTTCAAAGATTACACATTGGATACTTTTGGAGTTTGGTTCTTGGTCACAGAGGGATTTTTGTCTGCGTTTTAAAGTGTTGTCGCAGACTGCATGATTTATTACAAGTCATTAAAGTCAAACTTGTAATCCAAATGTAAAGAGAAGGGTAGCACCACCACCTAAAATCAAAACCCATGTTTGAAACCTTGTATTAAGTGTTGAGATGGAACTATTTGCTCAACTCTGATCCTTTTGGGGCTAACCCTCTCATATCATTAGTCCTGAACTCCAAAACTGTCAATTCAGCTTAGAGATTCTAGATTTATGTGCATATAAATGTAAGTAGGATACCTCACATTAAGAAAAACCTAAAGTCTCAGATCTGTGATATTGGATGGCCAAAGAGATTTGGTCTCTCTGGGATTTAATTGTACAAATGACGGCTAACTTTACTTTCAGGATGCCGTGGAGAACAAACTGGACACCAAAGAATGGCCGCACCAGTCTGAGTGTCCTGCTGCCTGGAATGGCTCCGGGGCTGTCAGGTACACTCGGTTTTTATGAGTCATCACACTGCAACTGAGTCAGTAGTTTCTGGAAATAATTATACATTCTGCTAGAGATGATCTCATCAGGCTTCATGTCAAAAGCTCCTGGCTACTTACAAATATCAGTGTTTCTCTTTGCTGTCATTTTCATCTGAAGGAAGTACATGACAAAACAATCCTAAGACAGAAAGTTCATATTTGCTTTTACAGACAAATACAGACAGAAGGAGGGTGATAAAACAGCGCCCTCCAGTGACCGTTTCTGCTACTATCTTCAGCTCCAGCTTTTTGATCTGAGTCTGTTTATTAAGGGATTGTTTTAAGTTTGACTGTCACTGAGTTTTTGCATCTATCTTTAGTATCTATTCCTCACGCTCTCTCCCTATGTTCCTTGCCAAGACGTTGGATTTGCTGTTTCTTTTTACAATTTTTCTTTTAAGTTTTATTTATGTTGTCCATCGTCTGCTCCACAGTGCCCGACAGAAGCACAAGGCCAGTGCTCAGGACGAACGCCGGACTGGCTCACGCCTCATCATCTTTGTTCTAGGAGGAATCTGCTTCTCTGAAATGCGCTCTGCCTACGAGGTCACCCAGGCAGTAAAATCCTGCGAGGTCATCATAGGTGAGATTACACAGATAACAGCTAAAATCACCTGTTTTCTCTCGTATATAAAATATTTTATCTAACAGCACTTTGCCTTCACCATAAATACCCTGGGGAGTTTGTACTCACTGACAATGCAAGGAATATTTCTGTGGTTTCTTCTTATTAAAGCTAGTTGAGTTGAGTTGAGTTGCGGCCATTCAGATTAACTAAAGGTGGATTTGATACAGTTTTATAAACTTCAGTTAAATCTGGATTGTAAACTGACTGCCACTGTCTGTTTTAGATAAGGTGTTCCTTTATTGGTCCACGTAGGAAATGTAGTGCAAAGAGCAGAGAAAGAATAAAATATAATAAAAATATATACACTAAGTTTTATACTCTACCTGCTAAAGGGTTTTATGCTCTACTTTGGGACCTAATGGTTATTTATACTTTGATTCTAGGATCTTCTCACATTTTGACCCCGACCAGTCTCCTGGATGACATCAAGGCTCTGAGCAAACGCCCCATGGAGATTTTAACAATAGACGAAAGGAGCAACGCCTGAGAAGCTGAACCCTCCAACCAACACCTCCCCTGCCTCCCTAAATTACTCAGCATAGTGCACTCAAACTCAATTTTGTAAAAAATGGAAAACTGAAGGGAATTTACCTTATACTTATCTTTATGTTTTAATACTCTTTTCAAAGCTGGTGCACATTAACAGTAGGTATGAGGACGAATTCTCTTTTAACTTGGTGCTTTCATGAGGCAGATTTTCTTCTTGAAGAAAAGCTAAGAATATGGCCTGCTTTTGGCCTTTATAGTTTAACAATTATGATTTGACGATATATAGCTCTTATTAAAAGTGAATCGACCTTATTCTGCTATGAGCATTTTATGTACAAATTCTCTAATCTGCCTATCTGTGTTTGCCTTTGTCCATAAAAGAAATTATTGGTTATTATGTTATATGTTGAAAGAGACCTCTGAGACACTCTCAGAGATATGATGGTGGAAACCTAATGTATATACTGTATGTAAGCACTGAGTCCCTGCTGTGTCGTTCTGACTTTTTTTGTCACTGTTGTTTATGAACACTTAATGTAATTTTGAAGAGTGTTTTTAACTTAGAGTGTTGACGTCTCTCTTGAACTGAACAACTGACTAATAAATGAATGAAGTGGTTCAAATCTTCTCAGATCTTGAGGTCCAATTACAGTTAATGTTACTTTGTTTGTGAACTGCGATGAAGCTACAAAATCTCAATACTATGAGAATTAACTAAATAAAGCAAAGTACCTGGATGAGCAGGGTAACTTAAACTAAAACTACATACTAGATACTCAACTTTGACTTCATGAGCCCAGGAAAGCTGTTGCATAACTATGTTTGCATAGGTTGAATTGTTTGTTGAATGAGTGATGGTAGAAGCACTTACCCTATCACCCAGGTCCATCAAAACCGCTGTAAGTTAATATCCATCACAAAAAGCCCTTTTATAAACAGAAAACCACATGTTCAAAAGTCCACAGGAGCAGCCGGTGTCCAATGAACACTGCGCTCATACCTCCTGAACACACAATAGGTGAATAGGTGAATATATAATGAAGCTTCTGTAATGTTACAGATCAAATCTGCCCCACTTTAGGCATTATGTTTTAGTTGCACGCCATTCAGATTGTTAACTACATGTTCAATACTGTGTACAATACAGAAAAGTGTCGATATTTCCTGTGTTTTCTGAATAGAGAAAACACGAGAGGGGTGTTGAGTCTTCGCTTTGTACTGTAAGTTAATGGAACAAACCTTATACAGTAGATTAAATTTATAGAAAATGAAAAGAGGGATTTTTTTTCAAAATTTACACTGTAACTGTATAGTAGCAAATGAAAGATGAGCAATGAATAAAAGGCTTAATTTCATAAAGCCTGTCTTCAAAAATCCTTTATCTCAAATCTCCCATGCTTGTTTGTGCTTAAGAAGGTATTTCATGGGGTTAGAAGAACAAATCAAGTACAACTTTAAGCATAAATTAATCACACCTAATCATCTGTTTATAATAGAGTTTGAATCAGAGATGTGTTAAAGCAATTATAGAAGGTGACAATGTTCTTATAGTTTGACACATTGGCAATATCTTGGCACTAAAATCAGCAAAACAAAAGTGCTTTATGTTTGTGTTTATGGTAGAGCCAGAGGGCAGAACACAAATCATGATCTGATCTGTGATTCTTAAAAACACAAACATGATACTTGTCAGGGTATCGTGTTTGTGGGAAGGAGATCATATCAGATGTGATTAAACTAGAGAACGGGGCGAGCTTTAAATCAGAATCACGTTATCGTGTACAACAATGATTTTTATAAGCAAAGTTATTTGAATACAAATTGTATTCTTATTATTTTATTTAACTTTATTTAACCAGGTAATACAATTGAGAACCAATTATCATTCTTCATTGGCTGGTTTGACCTGCACATCTTTTTAACTAGGTTAACTGTATGCCAACAGTAGAAGCTTAATGCATAAGCATCATTTCAGACTTTCAATGAATTTAAAACTAATTAAAAATGTATTACTACTTAAAAAAAGGTATCCCAAACAGGAACATTCAGTTGAATTCAATGTGTGAATGAACAGAAATTATCTGAATTAGGACATATTGGAGGGTTAGGGTTATAATTAGTGCTCAATACAGCTCTAAAAAGGCTGTATTGATTAATGTGATGTCATCCTCCACCAGTGGTCTGGCTGAAAACAACTTTTGCTGTGTCAGTTACAGGAAAAAGTGTCAGGTGACATATGAGCACACTCACAGGGTCGTCCTGCTTCACTGACCCTCTATACAGGAACACTTATACTTAACAAGGATAGCCCTGCTCTCTGACAATGACCTACTTTCATTTTATTTTTCCACTACAATAAAAACGTAATTATCAAATTCTTCCTTCACTCTGTGAGGGGGGGCTTCCTTGTTTCTGTCAGAGATCCCCAAATAAACACATATTGCATATAATTAATTTGTGTCTGTGATTTTATTAACAAATTTGGTTCTATTTGTTGAAACAAAATTGTGTCCCTTAGTGAAGGCTGAATTCTTAATGTATATAAAGTCAATGGCAAGGCAGCTATCTCAAAACCCCTAATTTCTTAGGAGGGGAAAAAAAAGTAGGCTAATTGAATACCTTTAATAATTTAATAAGTAAATTGAATCAAATTAAAAATTGATGGTAACCAAGCACAGGTGATTTGAAGGACGTTGGATATATTTAACCCAAAATCATGAATAAAAGGGTATTAAAAACCTTTAATACTCCACAAATCAACCCATGAATAAATTCCCCATGGATTAGTCCTTACTTAAATGTTTGATGAACGATTAATAACTGAGAAATGTGTTTACTTTAAGGGATATTAGACAAACTTTACGCTTTAATAATTGAGCAAAAATGAATACACTGAGACATAAAGTGTTTACATTTGTCTTGTCGTCTGCGCATGCGTGTGACTGTCGTCATGGCAACCGGCGTTTACAGGGCAGCCAAGCCTTAAATCTGACTTCTGAAGTTTTCTCCTTTAAAGTGTTAATTTATAGATTTACTCTAAACTACCTGTTGTTGTTACTCAAATGGATTCAGGTGAATCATTTTACGAAGGGATACGCGCCATTTAAAATGCTGTCGACCTGCAAATGTGTTGCGGTAGACCCGGGGCGAGGAGGTGCGGAGCCGGGGGCAGGGGCACAGAGCGACGGCCACAGAGGAGCTCAGGTCGGCGAAGAGAGGCGACGAGGACTCGGTGTCCAGGAGTGGCCCGACGGGTCCAGGTATGAGGGAGAGTTTGTGAACGGATTCAAACACGGCAAAGGAAAATACACGTGGAGTAACGGAGAGGTAATGTGAAATGAACATGAAGCAGGCAATTTATGCTAATTAATACCCCCTTTTTTTTTTTTCCAGTTTAAGTTAGTTAGTTGTTTGCTGGGTTCATTTTAAGAAAAACAGACAATAACAGTGAGGTTGTTCTGTTATGGTAGAAACAGAAAATCCTTGGTAGAAAGTTCTTACATAAAACATAATGTGGTTTTTTTTTATTGTCTATCAGTTTTCTAAAATTAAAGCAAGTCACAATTATATGTCCCTGTCTGCCCCTTTGAGTAGTGCTATGAGGGCTCTTTCTACAAAGACTACAGGCATGGGGATGGACTGTACTTCTGGCCCACAGGACACAGGTTCATTGGCAAGTTCTATCTCAACAGAAAGGAAGGATACGGACAACAACTATTCCCTGACGGAGCCACCTTTCAGGTAAACTGGATGGATGCATATTGATATGTTTTTTTAATTTACAAACATCATTAAATATTAATTAACTTTTACCCCTCCTCTCAGGGTTTGTACCATGCTGACCAGAAGTTTGGTCCAGGTGTGGTTAGTTATCTTGATGGGCGTAAGGATGTGGGTCTGTGGCTCGGAGAGCGTCTGCTGAAGCTCTGTGCCTCTGTAGAAGAGGGCTTCAGCCTGAAGAAGTTTCCTGAATATGCTGCCTACATGGACCCACCTGCCACCACAGATCCCCTGACTCAGGTACATGCTCACCAGTGTCTTACCCACAGGTGTATAGCTATGCCAGGCTTCCTTTTCATACATATATTTGGTTGAAATGTTCATATTTTAGTCTTTTAAACACATTGTTTGGATCCCAGGGTGAAAATGTTTGAACCAGCCAAGAATATGTAAAACCCCCTAACAGTACTGCCCCAAAGAATCTCTATAAATCACAAAATTATTGCAGCATTTATTTTTCTCACAGCTACATTTTGTCAGCAGGTCTTTATACTAACCAACGCCCCTGCTGGACAGTATAAGCAAAACATTGCTGTACTATGTAGAATCTAAATCTTTGGAGAGTTTTTTTTGCACCAGTTAAATATGTGTTTTTTACGCAAACAAATTTAGTTAATTATGTCACTAAAATATCTATCTGCACCCTTCTTCTCCTTACCAGCTTCCCACCATTGGTCTACAGACAGAAGCCAGAACAGACTCTAAGGTAAAGTACTGCTAATGAGCAAGTATATGAGCATTTAACTCAACACAGATCAATTAATACCCCATCCTCTTCAGGCGGATACAGACAGAGAACTGCTGTCAGATGAGAATTTTATCCTTCCCATCGGCATTGAGAGTTACTCAACAGATGGCGAGCACTTGCCGCTGCCCCCTGGCCGAAGAAGAGAGTTGGATCAACACTTCTATGGCGAGCTGTGGGAGCCGGACACTCATCTCCACCGAGGCTATGAGCGAGACCCACTCTCCACGCTCCCCTTACAGGCCCGCATGCAGGCTCACATACACAAACACAGGTCAGACACACATGGAAAAAAGTGTTTTAGAATTGGTACCAAAACACATTTTACTGGCACCAGTTATTCAGTTAAATAAAAAGACATACACATCATGTACAGGCTGAAATAATGTATTTGTGTTCTATTTTATTGTGTTTTGTGTGTCTCAGACTGCAGGCTGAAAATGTGGGCTGGGATGTGGCAGCTGTTCTCTCTCTGAACAGGGAAAGTTTTGGTCCTAAAGGGCCTTTGGAAGTCAGTTCAGAGTTGTTGATCCAGCACGCCTCCCGAGGGGAACTGCAGGCCGTGTCACAGATCCTCCAGACCGGTTTGGTCCACCCTGATGTAGCAGATTCAAAGGGACACACTGCACTGATTGCTGCCACAGTAACACATTCAAATTTTTTTTTTTTGCCCATTGTTTATTGATTCAGTTGTTTTAGGTTTTGAAAACGTGCACTATAGTCAGATATTCAACAATTACAACCAAAAAATACAACAAAATAAATAGAAATAAAAGATTCTTAGGTGTATTCTTTGCTTTTAGACTCACATTTGTCTCTCTGACTGTTGTGTTTTGTTTCTTGTACGTGTCAGGTAAACTGCCATAATGATGTGATCCAGCTGTTGTTGGATATGGGTGCTGATATTGACAAGACGAATTGTGAAGGCATGTCTGCTCTGGCTGTGTGTCATGTCCTCTACTACCCTTTTCAGTCTCTGCACACCACTTTCACTGAACCACCCGCCAAAACTCAAGTAGGATTCTAACTAATGTAGTTTGTATCTATGTTTCTTCATCACCTCTATATCTGTCGCTATAGCTCTACAGATGACTGAAAAACAACTTGTCCTGTAATGTGTCATTAGGTTTTAAGGTCTCCATCTGCAAATGAGAACAGTCCTCAGATTAGCCAAGTGGACTTCACTACAGACACACCCAGGTTTAACAACAGACCACAGACCGCTAATACAACCCTGAGCAGCCAGACCAACCAGAGTCATCTCTTGGACCAGTAGGAGTGTAGTTGATATCACCTCTCTCACATATTATTCAGCAGAAACTGTATATATCGTGTGTCCTGTTACGCACAGCTGATATTTACCACTATTAACAATTGAGACGAAAGCAGTTTCTGTCTCTCTAAAACAAGCTAATGAATTAATTTGACTTTTGTATTTGTTGTTGTATTTTGTAGGACAGCAGAAGAACTAAACGAGCACATCTCCCATCACAGCATTGAAGTGTCCAATGACAGTGAGCTCATCGCTGAGCGCTGGCCTGACCTGAATGAGCCTGAGACCCCTGCAGACACTGAACACCTACAGGAGGCGGAGGGAAAAGAGAGAGAAGGAGACGGAGAGGAAAGAGATTGCAAAGAGACAGAGAGAGAGGGGCAAGTTGGAGTGAGAGAAGAAAGAAGCAGGAGGGAAGAAAGAGAGATAGAGAGCAGATGTGATGAAACATGTGAAAATGGAGAAAGTGAGGTAAAAGGGAAGGAAAAGAAAGAGGAAGATGTGCTTGGTGAGAAAAGAGAAATGGAGTCAAGCAAAGAGAATATGGAAGTGAGGAAGGAGGTTGAGGAGGATGTAGAGAAGAGAGTAAGGAATCTTCATGAAGAGGATGTAAAGGAGAGAGACGAGAGAGGAAGTGAAGGCGTACCTGGTGTGGAGCGCTCCATTCAGGTGTTAGACGGCCACATCGCACTGGGCAGCGTGCAGTGGAAGGAGTGTCGAGCTAAAGCACCAGGAAGAGTTCAGGTATAAAGCACAGAGATCCCGTCCTATAATTGGTTTGATAAGTTGGTAGTTGTTTGAACTCACTGTTGTCTACTCAACTCTCTGTCTGCAGCAGGTCAAAGACAAAAAACTGACCCAAAAACCAACCTTTGACTCTGCCTGCTCGGTCAGCAGCTACAAGATCCAGGTCACAGAGGAAGCGATGCATCGCTCAGCAGAAGCGTTGAGTCGCACAGGGATTCCTCAGCGCTCCGACACACAGGAGACTGTACGCAAAATGGCTGCCATGAAGACTGAGTCAGTTCTGTCCTCTCTTTTCCTGTGCTGATTGTTCTGCTCTGATAATATTTGTGTATCTCTGTATACATTTGATGTGTTGTGTGCCTCTCTGACCAGACACCGTATTCGTTTGAGCACCCTGAAGTTGTTATTGGAGCGGGGAGCCGACCCCAACATATCCAGGGTCCCCATGCCAGTCCTCTTTTTAGCCATCATGGCGGCTGACACTGAGGCTGTCAGGAGGCTGCTGCTGTGTGGAGCTCGCACTGACATTCCCCTTCCACCCGAGGCAAGAATTATTTCATTTTATTGTCTCAATACAAAAAAACAAAAATCCATAAACACATGGAAAACAAAAAATGAGAGCATCTATATTACGAATTATGTACACCCATCTCTCCTTCTCACAACCTTTTGTTCATCATTTCCAGAAACTATAGAATTTCTCTCAACCTCTCATCCTTTTTGTAGAGGAAGGGTCTGTATCCCCTGCATGTAGCTGCAGCACTGCCCGGTCCATCAGGTCCCAGAATCACAGAGTTGCTGCTCCACGCGGTCACTGACCCAGACGCACAGGCATGCGACCAGGACGAGATCTATGAACCAGATAAGGTGTGTCTATCCTTTAAGCTTTTCCAATGTAAATGACTACTAATTGTAAGAAAAGATTTTTAGTCTGAGCTTCTTTTTTCCCCACAGATTTTCATGAAGGCCCAGGAATCTCTGAGCACCAGTAAGATCCCGCATCTCAAAGAAGGAGGCCAAACAGCTCTGCACGTGGCCTGCCAGAGAGACAGTGACTACCGGGTCAGTACCTCTACACAGCACCACTGATGAAACCTTCTCAAAAAGTAATGTCACTTCATTTCACAAGTGTTGTCAATTTAAATGACTTATGTGGTTTTTTTTTTTGCAGAATGCCAGTAAGGTGGTAGCCCTCCTGCTCTCCCACAGAGCCAGCACAGACCTCCTCTGGAGTGGACACTCGCCTCTTTCCCTCGCTATAGCGGCTGGGAATGACCTGGTAACCCCCCTTCCCACACACACACACACACACACTTACACACCCCTCTACAAAACCTCACTTTACCCTGTTTCTTTTTCCTGCCCAGGCAGTGGAGGAGCTGTTGAACGGAGGTGCAAATCCCAACATCCCACTCGGCCGCAGGGTGGGCAGCGCCCTCTGTGCCCTCGCCAACATCAACTACCACTTGGGTGGCAACAGAGCTAAGCTGGTACACACACAAGCACACAAACACAGACAAATAGCCATATATGTAGATTGAAATATACCTATAATAGACATATAGGTGTTCATCTTAAAGGTACACTGTAGCTGTGCTCAGATAATGAAAAAATAATTGATTATTAGGGATCCTACATACTTACAGAGCATTTTTACCTCACAAGAAATACAACAGACCTTAAAGTTCACTTGCTTCATTATGATAAAAACAGCTGGTTTGTTGACTCATTTAAAAGTGTAAGGTTGCATTTGTGTGTGTGTGTGTGTGTGTGTGTGTGTGTGTGTGTGTGTGTGTGTGTGTGTGTGTCTCTTTGATGTAGTTGGACATGTTAGCTAAGGCTGGTGCCGACATCTTGATGCCAGTAACGGTGGGTGATGTTGAGGGAACTGCAGTCGACTATGCACACCACTCCTTCAATCAGGTAACACACCAACTGTGAAAACACTTTACACGTTTCAGTTGAATTCAGTCAAATACAAAAGCCTTGCAATAAATCATATTGTTGTAAAGATTGTAAGGATATACGGATACACTTGCATTCATTCATTACCTATTTCTTTGCTGCATAATTTAATCTGAATCGCTGTCTATATGTTGTGTTACTATGTAGGACTCGCGTATTGCCAACACTCCCTTCCATGCTCTGAACATGCGGGAAAGGGAAACATTTAAAGCACGGCGCCAGCTGCTGAGCATGATGGGAGATCTGCTGAGGCAGACTGTTGCCCAGAGGGAGCAAGAGGGTGAACAATACCTCACATTGAATAGTCAATACAATGAATTTGTGCTTTTTGAATGCATAAACTATTATTTTGTGTTTCTAAGTATGGCTGTAAATCAGTGTGTGTGTATGAGTGTGTACTTTATTTATGTAACAGGTAGCACAGAGAGGTTTGTGCACAAGGGCTCGGAAAATCTATCACCTATAAAAGAAATACACAGGTACACACACATTCACGTAAGGCACCTGCATATTGTTCCTTTTCTTTTTCCTATTTCCTGGACCAACTGTTGTGTGTGTGTGAATCTTTTCTCAGAAAACCGGTGTTTAAGTTCTGCTATCACTGCGGTCGCTCTGTGTCTGTGAAGCTGACCGCCTGTAGCCGCTGCCACAAGGTCTTCTACTGCTCCAGGATCTGCAAACTGAAAGCATGGGATGAAAGACACAAGGACGAGTGTATCCGGGCGTCAGGTGGGAATCACTGACTCTCTCCCCACAAACTCCCAAACAACGCCAGCGCCAAAACCCTAATCCATGAGCACCGAAGCTCAGACGAGAAATATCACTAAATAAGCTTTTAATAAAATGCCCATGTGTAACTATGTCATAGTGTTTTGAATCTTTGATATCTGTAGGATAAAGTTACGCTTTGGACAGAAATGAATGATGTACAATATCTGGGATAAACTAATCTGGTTTTTATCTCTTGGATGAACAGAACATGTAAATATTTGTCTATCTGTGTCTCTCAATCCAGCCTCTGCTGATGGCATCCAGAAGAGTGTTGTGTTTAAATCCCAAAGAGCCCCCAGGCCCTTGACTGCCATGTTGAAATCCAAAACAGTCCCCAGGCCCTTGAGTGTCAAGTTGAAATCCAAAAGAGCCCCAGAGCCCTTGAGCATGGCACAGAAGGTCTTGGAGAGCCAAGTGAACCTGAAGGAAAACTACAGCTGCAACTGATGGACACTAACATTTCACACACTTAATTAACAGATGAAATACAACTTTTATCTACATAATACCACAAAGCACTTCTGTTGCTTTATCACTGCTTTCTCTGATTCTGACTCTTAACTTTATATATTTGGCTTCATGGTGATGACAATATTTTGTGCCATAATCATTTTTCTTTGCCATGTTTATACTTGTAGGTTTGTAATCTGTTGTAATAATAGTGTAATAATGTCCCTGTCTGCTGTCGCCACAGAAATATTGCAAAACACTGAATGGCTGCTTTTACTGAATGAATCCAGATGTTTTTGAATGAAGGAAGTTAAAAGTGTGACAAAAGAATATATTAAGTTCCACTTTTCCAGAGCAACTTCCAGCTTGACCTTGAGAACGAAAAATATGATGTAATAATTAATCAATTTTATTTTTTTTAGTAGCATAAAGTGGAACTATATCTAAATTTCATTATGCAATCCTGTGTTGTAAATGACAATAAAATAACCTTGAAATGAATCCTTGAAAAATAAATAAATCTCAACTCACTTACTCTTACGAATGTTTTTAACTGCATCTCAAGGTCTTCATCAGCAACTGGAGTCGTCTCAGTTGGCATCTTGGTTTTACAAACATTCGTGTGAAGACAACTAACTCCAAAAGCAGCAAACTCTAATCGCTGATGAACACCTTGAGCTGTGGGTGAAAGCTCCAGATAAAGTTTGTAAGTGAGCCTTTGAGAAAGTCAAGATTGGACTTTACAGCTGATGTTAAAACTACTTACACATCGACTCACCTTCACTGAATCAAGCTTTATAAATATAAGTGAGGTGTGACTGTTGGTAATATGATGACATGTGTTGTAAAGTGCCTTTATTTGCTAACTACTGGCTAGATTACAATGACATTTGCTGTGGATGATTATGGTACTAAGAGGTTGACTCATAATGCCTTTATATGACCCTGTGAATGTTTTATAGCTCCACAATCACTCGGACACAACAAATATAAAAATCCAATGTACTGAACACTTTCTTTAACCCACAAAGAATGAGTCATTTCCATTTTTGTCACTATGAGCTTTCTTGACACGGTCAGCTGTAACAGCTGTACTGTAGTGGCCTTTCCTGTAGCACCATCATCAGGACAAACTTTACACTTGCATCATATAAAACGTTCCAGGAAAGAAACAGTGGATTATATTACTTAATCTGGTATGTAATAAACAATGTGGGACTATAAACAGGGTTTAATTCTTTTAGCACGAATGAAGTGACAAACACGAAGCTTGTGTTTGCCTGAATGAGGGAAACTGTGGTGCTGGAAGAAGAACCCAGTACAACAAAGTCCTGAATTAAAAATATGATTTATGTAAAAGCACAGAAGTATTATAAATTAAGGTTACTGATATATTATGACATTATTATATCAGTAATACTGATGCAACAATGTGCAAGCAGCATCTTACCGTTGGTGAAGGTGGAGTGAGTTTGAGCTTCTTTACATACTGTTATTATACTGATATTTTAGTCCAGCGGTTCCCAACCTAGGGGTCCGGGCCCTTCCAAAGGGACATAAATAAATCTGAGGGGTCGTAAGGTGATTAATGGGACACAGTTCTGTGTAATGTTGGATCATAATGAGAAGATTAGAGGGATAAATGGTTTAATCTTGCACTTTATAAGATTATTGTATGTTTTTATATGTAATATCTTAATCATAAATGTAACTACTGTCAAATAAATGTATAATACACACAAGTTAAGTTCCTCAAAACTGTACGTAAGTAAATGTTACATCCAACCACTGTTTATTATATGGCACTCATCTATTGTGTACTTTGTACCTTGGCAGTGGGAGTACAGTGCTTTTACATACAACTCAATCAAATGTGTTATGTTTGTGTGTATGTATCACCCAGATCTTCACATAAAACCATTACCTATATATAAACTGGTTATTATTATTAAAGAAAGGTGTGTTTCACTGTAAATGGCACATAAATTGGTCATGTGCCATTTACAGTAATGTATCAAAACGAGCTGTTTGGCATAATAATAGCAGAGCTGACGTTGCTGCGGAGCCCTGAGCCTTGCATCATACACAGATGAGTCAACAGAGGGCAACCACAGACCGGTGCACAGACCGGGACACAGACCGAGGCACAGACCGGGGAACAGACCGGACAGACTGCCAGAGAACAGCGGAGATTGAACGAGCAATCCCTGGACGCATGAACGAAATTAAACTCCAGCAGGAAACAAACTAATTCAACTTTTTTTTTTTAAAGTAACTAGCAGAGTAGAAGCAGAGTCAGGAAGAAGCTGGGAGGAAGTGAAGTTGTTGTTCCAGTGTTTGCGGCCGGAGGAATGAACGCGGATAAGGAGGAGCAGGAAGACGAGCTGCTCGCCCTCCATAGTATCTTCGGTTCGGAGGAGTTCGTCCGAGATGAGTCGAAGTGTGCCGGAGAAATCCGAGTGTCTGTTGAGCTGCCTGCAGACTTCACTGTGGTTCTGAAAGAAGGTGAATAACAGAGATACTATGTGGTTATTGACACTATTATGTAACTAATTACTGGTACATTTCAGTAATAATATTACAGTCCCGTCCCCCAAAAGAATAATTTATTACAACCATACTTTTGTTGGCACCCCCCTACTAATTTGAAATCCAATCACATCCTTGGATTCATTTTTGTAATTGTGGAGGAATTGGAAGATGGAAATATTCCCATTACTTTGATTTTAACCAACAGAGTCTGAAATTTGGGGGAAGGTGCACAATTACCAATTTAGTGGAGAGGAGCAGAAGTTATATAACTAGGAGGGTGATATAAGTAAAATAATACTATTTTTACTTACTTTTTTTTGAGTAACTAGCTCAACGCAGCATGTTAAGGCCCTGTAACTGTACAAAATATGCTTTATTATGACTAATATTAGTTATTTATACTTATATATTTTACACAATACTAATAATATTTAGTAAAACTAAATGAAACACATTGTGTAAAGAATTTATAATACAATATAATGTTGAAATTAAATAATTTGAACTGATTTTATATTCAGCATGTAGAAACCAGGAATGTTTCTTGTTTATTTGCTTTGGTCTTGTTATCTTATTGTTCTTCTCCCAAAGGTGAAACGCTGAGGCAGTATGAGATATCATTCCTCCCTCCTCTGTGTCTGACCTTTGAACTCCCCGAGGACTACCCATCCTCCTCCCCTCCCTCCTTCACCCTCACCTGCAGCTGGCTGACACAGACACAGGTAATCATTAGAGGCAATGTGGCTTAATTAAAACATTATTGGTCACATTTACAACCTGCCAGTGTGTGTCACAAACAGAGGGAGAGATGAATGCATGTTGCAGAGGGGTGAATAAAGATTACATCAGTCTCTCTCCTTCCGCAGCTTTCTGCACTGGCAGCCCAGCTCGCTGATCTCTACCAGGCCACCGGAGGCGCTGTGGTGCTCTTCACCTGGGTTCAGTTTCTTAAAGAAGATGCCCTCAGGTTCTTAGACATCCCTACCCTGCTGGAGCTCCCCTCTGATGAACACAGCAAACAGGACAATAGCCAGGACTCATTAGATCCAAAGAATACTAAACACACTCCAGAGGCAGGACCCACAGATAACCAAAGTATTAATGTCTCAGATCCACGTGAACCGGACCTCTCTGCATCATCCCTGGAAGTTGAGCATCCCACACTGAGCAGCACAGACTCTCAGGGAGCTGTGGCGTTAGATTCCTGCAAGCCTCCTCAAAATAATATAACCTCCCACCACAGTGAAGTCACCCTGGATGGTCCAAACTCAGGGCCTAATGCGGATTATCTGAAGACCTCAAACGATTCTAACCAAATATCACAAGCCTCAGACGTGAGGGAGGCTGAACAGACCCTCCAAACCTCAGAGTTAGAGGCTGACTACCAGAATGAGCCGTCTTCAGAGCCTCTTCAGTTTGCTCAGTCTGATCCATCAAATGAAGGTGAAAGTGTTTCAGGCTCATCATCGCTTCCCTCCAGCTCCTCAGACCCGCTAGATGAGAGCGAACAAGGAGCTGCTTCTCTGCCAATCCACCAGAGAGAATCCCCTCAAACCCTCTCCGGTCTCTGCCTAACCCCGTCACAAACTCTCCTGTCCCAGCTCTTGATCTATGACGCGGCGCAGCAACAGAAACAGTTTGCCACCACAGTGTTTGACTGTGGTGTTTGTTTTGTGGGCTGGCTCGGTTCGGACTGTGTGCAGTTGCCTGAGTGTGGCCACATCTTCTGCCAGGCCTGTCTCGCCCAGCTCTGTAAACTCCAGATTACAGAGGGGAGCGTCCGGGGTGTGACCTGTCCTCAGGCAGAATGCACTGCCACTCCTACACCTGCACAGGTACAGTCCCGACCTGTCCGTCTACTCTCTCTGCCAACTGCAGCTTCTTTCTCTCTTTCTAACCCCAACCCTGGACCAGGACTCACTTCTGAACTGGTACACCGAAAAACTTTCCCCTTTAGCAGATTAATGTGAAAACATCTCTTCTAGTGTCAAATTCAAACATCCAACTGTGACATTTTTGATTGGAGGGGTCTTTATGTAAAAGTAGCAGTGCTACAATTTAAAAATCCATCTAAGTAAAAGACCTGCATTCAAAATTTGACTTAAATAAAAGTACAGAAATATTACTTAAATATGCTTGAAGTATCAAAAGGTTATAGTACTTAATATGCCATGATGTGTATTGAGTGGGACATTCTGCAATTTGTGTCAAAGAAATTGATCTCTATTGGACAAACTATGTAATGGTGATACTTTCTGTAATTTCTGACTGCTCATATTTGGCATTTCTGACATTTCTTGTTATTTATATTTAGATTATATATATATATTTTTTTTTTTTTTTTATATTTATATATTTTTTTTTTTTTTAAAAATAAAACAAAAATACCAGTGTATCTGCAATAAGATAATATCTGCTGATATACTGATATCTACAGCTCAATAAAACACACTGCTGTTTATTGGAAAAATAAATCTCTTGCATTTTAATTTAGAGTAACTGACACATTTGTGTTTTATGTTTTTTTTATTTGTATATGTCAGGTGAAGAGTCTGGTCGGGGAGGAGCTGTTCAGCCGCTATGATCGTCTCCTGCTGCAGAATACTCTGGACTGCATGCCTGGTGTGTTTCCCTTACAGCATATTTCTGTAAAACTGAATGTATTCAAAGCCTTTATACATTCAGAATAACAAGGGATAAGAATATAGCAGTTTCTCTGTGGAAATTCTCAAGCCAATTGTGAAAACAAGACTAACACAAATAAACAGAAAGAAAATTTTTAGCAACTTCAACATTTAATTTTACATTGGGATCATTGAAGAGCCTCTGCTCATGTCTCTTCTTTTCTCCCCTCCTCTCAGATGTGACGTACTGTCCTCGGCGTTCCTGTGCTTCGGCCGTCATCCAGGACAAGTCCAGCAATGCAGCAATGTGCTCTGAGTGCGGCTTCGCCTTCTGTGTCATCTGCAAAAAGACTTATCATGGAAAGGACGACTGTCAGGAAAGAAAGAAGAACATTATAAAGCGGACAGACAAAGACGCACAGCAAGCCAATGTAGACCTGCCACAGTCACAAGGTACATGTGTGGAAAGGAACAATATAGAAGTACATTCAATGTCATGTGAATATTTTACACCTAAACTAAATGAAATGATGAATGAATTCATATTAGTAATAATTATTGACAATAATAGTACATTGAGCTGCTGTAAGAAGCATATTTCCCCTCTATTATCACCACACCATTTATATTATCTTAAACGATTAGTCGATCAACAGAAAGTTAAACTATTTTGATATTTTATTAATCATCATCAGATAATATTTCAAGCAAAAAGGCTCATCATCCACTAGTTACAACTTCCAGTTGATTTTCTTTGTCTTTTGTGATCTTAAGTTTAATATTTTTAGGGCTTTAATTGTTGAATTGGTCGTACAAATCAATAATTTGAAGATGTCATGTTGGAGTTACTTATTTTATATACTAGACAGATTAATGAAGACAGTAATTGGCAGTTTTAAGAATATTATACATAGTTGTGTTAGCTAATAGCCCCACTTACAAGAACTTTTTTTTCATATTTAAAAGATGCTTCTATGTCTGAACTTTGACTTGGTACATGTTGAGTATTAAATATGGCACTTTAACACTTTTTAATACTCTGTAAATCTGTGAAATTAGATGAAAAAAAGCCAGAGTTATCAATTATTGGATATAGATAGAAAGCGGAAGTTATGTTTTATGCTAATAGACAGTGATTTTAAATCACAATTTCTATGTTTAAAATGCACAACTATTCAGCTTTTCCTTTCCAGTGAGGATAAACCTCTGAAACAACATGATGTAGCAGGAAATTATTATTTTATGATCAGCTACAAATATTCAGCAGTCATAAATTAAGAGTTATAGAATCAATTAATCTTTTAAATTAATAGACTATTTTAATTTCTTAGGAAAAAAAAATATTATTCTACAACATTAAAATATTTCTATAAAGCAGTGGTCAGAGGAACCTGTCTTAGTGGAAGCAGATGAGCTGACTGGTCGACAGTTGATAAAGATAACCGGTTATCATAGAAGCAGCATTTGGTTTGTGTGGTTGCAGATGATGTGTATCTGAAGCAGAGCTCTGTGTTGTGTGTGTGTGTGTGTCTCAGAGGGGATCAGGGCTCTGTGGGACGACTATGCCAGTGGCAGTAAGCAGAGGCAGCACCTCCTGGAGAGCCGATACGGCCGCGAGATATTGCAGGTCACTGTGGAGGCGTGTCTGAGTGAGGACTGGATAGCCTTTAATAGCAAGAGCTGTCCTCACTGCTTCTGCAGAATCCAGGTATTTATTTATTACCACTTATTTCACACATAGACATTAACTCATGAGCACAGACACATTTTTATTATGACAGAACATTGCACGTCTGTTGTTTTTCAGACTGTTTAGACCACTGTGTCTTTGCTGATACATACGTTGTTGTCTTTCTTTGTGTTGTAGAAGGACAGCGGGTGCAACAAGATGACGTGCTCTCGGTGTAGACGGCTGTTCTGCTGGGTCTGCCTCGCCAGACTCTCATACCCTAATCCATTAGCACACTTCCAGGACAATGCCTGCTCTCTATATCAATACAACCAGACCTAGGCCTTCAGCTACTTATGACACCGGCAGACACTGGCCACCGGCCGTGGAGGGATCATGTGTTCAGATCTGTTTGATTTTAAAGTGCACTTTTAACAGACACTTGAAAAACATACAGAAAAAGCCAGTTTTCAAACTGTTATCATCTCAACACTGTTTGAATCATTTCTTTTACATACATTTACCTCGTTATTTGAGACTTTTGGCCTCATTTAATATCAACATCCGACATTGCAATGTTATAAATATGAATAATGAAAAACATAATATCTCCCTTTTAATATCTCTGATTGTCATTCACAAAATCACAGCATGTGTCATATTGTGTCATGACCAGTAGAGGGCGCTAAATAACAATAATAATAATAAAACAGCTTGGGCGCACTCAAGTTAACTTATATGAAATCCCTTTTGGTTCTATCAAGACATGTAAACATGCTTTATCTTCCAGTATTTAATAATCAAACATTAGTGCATTAGTGAAAACTGTTATGTGACATTATTCTTGTTTGCAGCTTTGGATGCAAACAAGAATAATCTATGAAAGAAAACCGCTCAGTGGACCTTTTTTAAACCAAATCAAGTCTCACTAATGATTAGGGTTCTTAGTCAGTTTGCAGCTGATACCAGTTGTTTCTTTGATTAATTGATTATTCATTTGGTCTATAAATGCAGCAAATAGTAACAAATGCCCGTCACAAATTCCTAGAGACTGTGGTGACGTCTTCAAATGTCTTGTTTTCTCCATAACAGCAGTCTATAACCCAAACGTATTCTGGTTTGAAAACAAGAAAACAAGCAAATATCCACATTTGAGAGGGCGAAGCCAGTAAAACGTTGCTTAAAACTTAAAAAATAAATTGAGTATCAAAATTGTTGCAGTTTTGTTGATTTAGTGACTAAGTGCGGCAGCCCCGGTACCCAGGGAGTCGCTCTTTAAACCCTTTTAACTTCATGTTGTTGTTTACTTTATATTTGGCATATTTAGCATTTATTGAATTGTTCTACAAGAGTCTTAGCTGTGCAATACCATCACCACTATAATGTTGAACACAAGTATTAACATAAAAGCACAAACGTATGCCCTTTAAAGCATGTGCAGGCATACAAGTGTGCAGACACGGTGTGCAAAATGAATGTAATGATATAAGTTATAAGTGAAAATAGAGTTGAGAGATGTATTGCACTGTGCCAGAGGTTACCATAAATATAAAGTGCAATTAACGAGTCCAGTAAGACCTCAGCAGCCTCCCAGTCCACTGGTGTCTGTCCTGCGACTAAATGGGGATGTAGACTACGAGAGCTGTGAGTTATATAAAGCTATGAGACAAAAGTGCACTGTAACATTGAAAAGGTATAATATTTTAACTAAACTCCAAGTGGGACTGTAACCACAGAGGCAATCAGCAAATGTCATCTGAGTCACCAAGGATCACTTATTATACACAGTTTGTATCCTTTGCAGAAGTTTAAACATTTTATAGATGCATATTCAGCCCCTAATTCTATTTAAAGTTCATACACATTCAAAGGGAACCCTGCAGGTACTTACTGGGCGTTTTGAATACTCACTGATTGACTTCCTGTTTTTGAAACGTTTCCTTTCCTCCACTGTTCTGTCATAACAGTGCAAGACCACTGTAGTGTGTCCCCAGGCTGTCTGAGACGTGATCGGGAATTTACAGCTGTCTTTTATATTAAGCCAAAAAATACTGGACCTCCCTATTGCTGTCTCTCTCTATCTCTCTCTCTCTCTCTGTGTGTGTGTGTGTGTGTGTGTGTGTGTGTGTGTGTGTATCTCTTCCAGGAAAACTCCAGTTTCCACACAGGGGTCATCGCTTCCTCATAAATGTCTAAACAACTGTTTGGCTTTCTGGCCCACAGTCCTCTAGCAGAGCCTGGAGGACTGGAAACCGGGAGGATGGGCATGTGTTTGTGGTTGTTAAGTTTGGTTTGTTACATGTGAGGTAGATGAAAATAAAAGAAACACAAAAAAGAATCAAGGAACCAAAACACAGCAATTATAACGCCATTAGAAAATACAAGGGGCCACTAAACAAAACCAGAACTGACAAGTTAAAATGGGGTTAAAAGAAAGAATGTGAGTATGTAATACAGAGCTCCTTTTGCTTTCTGTAAATGTGTTAATAGCCGATTTAAAGGGGCTTTAATAGAGAACTATCAAATGACAATGTGAAAACAGTGTGAGAATTTGACAATTATCACCTGAATCCGCTCATTGTTTGTCTGTCCTCCTGCAACTTCACTCTCACTGCTCTCGTTGCTGCATTTTCAGCCACAACAGGCCTCTGTTTTCTGTGAAAAAGCTCCAAAAACTCCAGTGTACCAAACTGCCAAACTGGTAAACACACTGGAGTGTTTAGCTGCTAAAGAGCTAACCCCAGTGTGTGCCTCTCGTGCATTATCCTCTGTTTCCGAATAAAGAGAAAGATCAAACATGGCAACCTGCCAGTGGCTACCTGAACAGGAAACAGCAACTTTGGAAAATATGTTTTTATTGTGCAGCGGACTGAATATTTTTTCATCCAGATGGTTAGAAGAGTCTTTGGGGATTCTGATTTACTGGCGGGGCAGCAGTAAGTGTTTTTAAATGACCCTCTTGGTTTTTAAAACATTGCGGGTTAGCATTTATTACCTTATTAGAGAAACTAATGGGTCTAACCTCTGTGACCTCAATGTACGCTAATACATGAGAGGGACAAACATGGGGCCGCTGAAGAGCCCGATATTTCCCTCAGGAATTGGTGGAGACCAAAATCAGAGCTAAAAGAGAGTGGACTTAAATTCATCAGGTTACCAGAAACACGACTCTAAATGAATGTTAATGTTTCTCCATAACCGCTGGATGTGTAAATTAACTGTCTGCTATCATAATGAGTTCACCACATCAACTTAAAAGGCAATATGTCAACGTTGTTCACAACTTATTTCCGCTGCCCCGCAGGGCTCTGTGGCTGAAGAAATCCCTTTTAAAATCAGGTTTAAATTGTATCTGCATTCTAGCATGATTCGTTTTAATTTAATGTTGCACCAAAGACAACCCATAGTGCTCAGGGCCTTGCAGGGATTAAAAATATATATAAAATATTTACTATATGGCTCAAATGTACTAGTGTGCAAACCACAACCAATCCGCCGACATCACTCCTGTCACCTGTAAAGGGCTTTTCCATCTAAACTAAACTAAATGGGTCAGGAACAATACCTGTGGCCACATGAAAATTCGTCATTTGTCAAATGTAAAACACCTGCAGTGAAACCACTGATTGCCGTTTGGCCTCAGTCGCAGCGCGCATTAACCCCCAGAAGCAGTGATTGTGCTCTAATGGATTTTTTGATGCACACATTTATGAAGTTTTCACTACAAGATTTCACTCAAGAAAACATCTGCAGTTAATCAATTGAGCCCGAGGTAGGTGTCAAACATTTTGACATGTCATTGCAGCAAACACACAGGTGTGACTAATAACACACATACAGCCCTGGGACACTTACTGTAATAGACCTTTTTTATAGAAGATGTTCTGTGTTGTTGAGTGGTTTATTAATATGTATCTATAAAGGTAAAACAGCAAGAACAAAGATTTTGCTGTTTGAGGGTCCTACTCGTCGTATTATGAATGTTGGCCCTCGTTAATGTTATTAGTGACATCTGCACTTTCCTTACTCTGAAAGGTCAGAATAGAACAGAAAAGGAATATCAGTAAATGTCTCAGTGATTATGCTACATAAACTTTATGTAAAGGTTTTCTCTTCTTCCTTTCTTTCTCATACATTTACTCTAAAATAATGTATGAGCAATTGCATGGCCCATTTCTGGCCATATATTTGTTCAGAAACTAATTTTATTGAATAGTTTAAGAATAAAAGAGCTGCCACATTTTTCCAGTTAACAACTCAGATCGATTGAGAACCAGTGTGCTGGTATGTTCGTTTAATCTGCTCTATAGGAAGGGTTCATTATTGATGTCTGAGCGAAGGAGACAACTGTCAGTCATCTGCTTGAACTGTCTGTTTGAGTCTTTCTGGGCCACAATGACGGATGCACAATTATGAGCTGGTGCTACGCAGCTAAACATTTAGTATAAAGAAAACAACAACCGCGGCCTGTTTATTTGCTTCGTTTCATTCGGGGCTTAAAACTGAATTAAACAGGTGCTGTATTCTAAACCATCACTAATGCACCTGCAGCAATTAAGGGCAGGAATTATGCATACGAGTTATTAATATCAAGCTGCACAGATTCCAAGTGATATTAAGTATTAATAGTAATTCATGTGCGTGACTATTTGTTTAAGGTACCCTCTGATAATGGAGCATTTATGAAGAGAGGAATTTGAAGATGAGAGCATAAATCTAATCTTTTATCCAGCAGCTTTGTGACTGAACATGTTCCTCTAACAGCAGCTGCAGACAGTTGTCTCCTCGTATTGCTGGTTTAAAATTGACCTATTTTGCCCAACACTTACAATAACTACCCAATTAGTACCTACATACGTTCATTAAAAAGTGGCAGCACTGAGTAATAAGGAAGCTGGACAGCCATTTAATGTGCTAGTGCTCTATCCTGGTGAGTACAGGCCCAATTAAAGCATCTAAAAAAACAATCATTCAATGGCAGAAATCCAAGTTTGTGGATCCTTACCAAAAACTAACTTAAACCTGAGGCCAGTACACCACATTTCAGGCAATCTGTTCATAAGGTGTGTGAGATATCCTGCTGACAGGCAAACAAACAAACAGCCAGGGGCACGAGAACAGCTTTCTTGGCAGAAGTAATTTCAAGAATAACGAGTAAAGCCTGGCTATCAGTGCAGTGGAAACTGGGCTATGTAGGGCGTCTTCTCCCTGAGAGCCAATAACAGCATCCGCTAACAGAACGGTTATTTCCCCCGGAGCGGTTACGAGCTGAGCCGCGGAAGAAAACACACGAGGCACACATTCATTGCAATAATCATCAACTCAGCTTGGTTATTAATATCATCTGCACGTTTATTCATCTGTCAGAAAACACACACACACACACACACACACACACACACAAACAGCCTCAGTAATCAGTGTATCAATCATCCAGGCATCCATTCAGTCAGTCAGTGGTATATTGGCAACAATGTTCAGAGGCACTGAAAGTGTGCTGAGGTTTTCACAGAGAGTACAGGAGTATATACTGTCCTACAGGGCTGCTGCTAGGAGGTTTGGGGCCCCTGACAGTAGATGGAGGTGAGGGGTCCTGAATTCTGTCAGTGTGTAAGACTGACTCACTCTGAAGACCAGAATACATGGGCTTTTTTATGTGAGGCAACCTATCCTATATGTTTTGATTGAGTTGAAATGGACAGGCACACACAGTAGATGCATGCTAAAATATGCCTTTTGTATTTCCAGCCGAGAGTTAAATGCAAAGGTTGATATTAGTCTTGTATCTCTGGAGCTGGAACCAGGAGGCGATACAGCTGGCCTAGCTCTCTCCGAAATTAAAAAATCTGCCTACCAGCATGTTTAAATCTTACTAATTACATTAATAAGCCTTAAAAGGATTGGATTTCTAAACTTTGGACAGAGTCAGGCTAGCTGTTTCCCCCTGTTTCCAGTCTTTATGCTAAGCTAAGTTAATAACCTCCTGGCTCTAGCTCCACAGACATGATATCAATCTTTACATCTAACTCTCAACTTAAAAAGCAAATTTCCCAAAATCTGATACTGTGCTTTTAACACATGCTACTTTACAAATCCAGCTATAAAACAAATAAACATTTTGACCCAAATTGCAATTTAACTGGTCATCCAAAAAGCTTCTTTGGTTCTAATTGTTATTGGGACGTGATTGCAATTACTTACTTTAACAGTGGATGTTCCTGCACTACCGGTGAGAATGGTTACCTAATACCACAACAGTTGGACTGAAGAAGCCTTTTGGGTAAACAGAAAAGTGATGACCCAATAATGTGTATTACATTTTCTGCAGACACCAGACAACTGATGTGGGAACCCATGAAACCTCTACTGTAATAATTCAAAAATAATAATCTCTTTGGATTGTCAAAATCATTCTAGTGGTGTCAAATTTAATTGAAGTAATGAATAAATATCTTTAGTCACATTGTGTTTTTTTCTTAACCTCACAGTGTTTCCCATCTACCCTGGTCTGATCAGTCCAACAGTGCAACACGTGGATAAACACGCAGAGTTACAAATATGATACACATCCACACAGCTTCAAATTCTCACATTGTAAACATCAGGATATCAATTATCAAGAGGCAAATAATGACAATGGTAGCAAAGTCTTCACTTGAACTAAACAACATATGGTAGCATAATTTTCTTTATAAACACAAGTGTATTTTTATATTCAGTGCAAAAAATCATGATTCTTCCCAATGCCCTTTTGTAGATGCAGCACAGCATACAGACATTTCCAACCAACCAGCCATATAAACCTCAGAGAAAACAAACAGCTTCCTCACTGTCCTATTTTCTCTCAATAGTAGAAATATCTCAACAGTTATTAAATATGACTTTTACTCATGCACAAAATAAACCAGATACAATTTATACGGTGCAATATGTAACACTTCTCGGTCATTTACAACAAAGCACTGAAGTTCAACTTATAATGGTGCTGCAACACATCCGCATTCAGAAAACAGCATTGATTAATAACAGTGGAACTAATAATTATTAATACATTTTAGTTGTCAACCGTTATAGTCTCTAACAAGTAAACACAGAACAAAACAAAAACAGTGCCCTGGGTATTTGAACTATTTCAACATATCATCAGACCAAACAACAACTAAACTGACTTTTTTGCAATCCAATCATTTCAGTGAAAACAGAGCAAATAACAGTGCCAATTTACAAAATATTAAACCTCTTAACAGTTAATGGCGGTTTGTACCTAGATGCCTTTATTTAGCACAGTGGTTTTCTTGATTTTATTGGCTTTGGACTGCTTAAAACATTTGTGCAACCAATGAAGATCTTTAGATGCAGAATTGTTTTTCACTGCAACAAAATTCATCCAAAAATAGTCCTGTAGAAAAGAGGCAGTTTACCGGTGGTTTGGCGTGTTTTAGCCCATTAACTACAAATTGCGTTTACTATGTTATTTCAGGCTATGTAATTTATTTTCAATTAGAGCCTGCTGGTTTTGAGACTTTCTTGAATCAAGTAAAAATACCATAAGATGGCACTTTTTGAGCTGTTCCCTTCAGCATTCTTTCAAAAGGAACAAAGAGGTTTTGGGTGAAATGTTAATTATTATAAACACTTTTAAATGTAATCTTATATATATTTATCCTATTGTGGCCTCCTGGAGTGTCCTGACTGATACAATAATTATATATAATATCATCACAAAAAGAGGAAGAAAAAAAGAGGAAGAGTAGTGTGAGCGGTCACAAGATGACCAGAGAAGAAAGTACAGTCTCTGCCACACTAAATTATATTTGTTATGGTTTTTTGCACATTTTCTCACATTTTAGGGGAAGAATTTGTCGTCGGGGTTCCCCACCTCCAACCCTCTATGTTTCCTGTCGCCTCCATGTTCCCATCCAGTACAGTGCAATCTGTACACGGTAGCTACATTATTTGCCCAGAGGCTCCTAAACCAGTACTGATATGCTGGAAAGATACCACCTGGCGAGCATCACAGTAGCTAAATTGTTACCCTTCCCTTATTTCCTGTTTTCTTTTTCATTCATACATGTCCAATAAATATGCCCCAAAAGATAATCTTAAAAGAAAAAATGACCACTGTCCCTGGGTTTTCTATGTCTCAGTTAATTTTGAATTTAAACAATTAAGGTCTTAAAAGGTCTTAAAACTTTTCTGTTCCTCTACAAGACAGCATCGCAAAATTAGCTAATAACGTAAAACCGTGTGGACAAACTGCCTAACAAATTTTCAGTACAGTAACAAAATGTAATCCCAGGCTGTGAACCTGGGACTTGTGGGACCTGTGGGGTTTGGGGCCCCAGGACAGTTGCCTATTTTGTCAATCTGACGAGAGAAAAAAAAACAATCTTTGGTCAACACAGGCCATAACCTGTGGCGAGGGGTCTCAAGTAGATATTGGCATATTTTAAGGGATCCCAAGCCAAAAAGGTTGGGAAAAACTGGTTAAGGGAGTCTAAAAACACCATAGAACAAATACAAAAAAGGCTTCCAGACTACTGTCCTCCCAGCAGCCTGATTTTCCAATGATCTCCTCATTTCTTCCATTCCATTGCAGTCTATTATTTCATGCATTTTTCTGAAGGTGTGAAGTAGCTGCATTGGACTGTGACTCTCATTCTGAATCCAGGAGCCTGTCAACATAATAAAAGGTTATGCTACCCATGCCTTCATGTAACACAAAGCGTGTTATTTCTAGGTGGAGGAGGATTGCTATTAACAGACTGCAACTCCGTCGAATGTGAAGAACTCCTTGACTACCTGTGTCTCACCCACAGCTTTGGTTACAGCTCTGCTTTCATCAGCTCCTCTTTGTTCCTTTTTGATTAAACCATATAGCAGAGTGGGCTAATAAAAAACAGCCTCCCATTTTGTTCTCCATGTTGTGTTTGTCTCTCCCTCTCTGGCTGTTTCTCTCTCACATGTTTAAATCCCTAAACACCACAGTACTTTGTCCTCACAGTGCTTTTCTCCTGAGTGTCCTCATGTGTGTGATCAGGTGTGTGTGTTTGTGCTCTAGAGACATATGTAAGATGTGAACAGCTGCCTCTCCCCACAGCAAACCAACCCAACCAGAGAGAAAGCCAGGATGCTGCTTTCATTTCACTTTATAACACATCTAATTACGTGACCCGATCAGGCCTTTGACTGATTGAATTATGTGGGAGTGTGCGTGCACGTGTGTGTGCACGGCCGCTCTGCAGGAGAAGCTGGAAAAGCCAATTTAAAGTGAAAGGAGGAAGGTTCTTCTCCTCTTTTGAACTACAGATGCATTCAATTAGTGTGTACTGTATAGCTGAAACATGTTGACATCTGAAAATCTAGATGGAAAATCCTTTCAGCTGCTACATAAAATGTTTTTTGAGGCATAAATATGATCATTTTTCCTGTTTAAAGGAAACAATCTGCAAATAAAAAAGACAAGTTTTGTGTTTCAAACAATAACAATTTAGATTTTATGACCCTGTCATTGTCTTCTGAATGTAATGAAGATCATAAACAACATTAAAGGCACAATACACACTTCTATGTCATTTCAAGTGTGACTGTGTAACTCCAAATGCCATGTGACTGCAGTGTGTTCAGCTGAGCAACTGA